TCCCCCCATTTCTCACTTCTTGGGAAATGAGAGCCAGAAAGATCAAGGACTGTCATGTTCAATCCTTTTGTTGTTAAATCCTATTTAGTGAAATACAAGAATCCCATTTAATTTCCTGATCATTGCCCCTTCCTCCTCCACGTAACCCCCAGTTTTGTGCCTGATGCCATCAGACTGTACACCGCCTGCCTCCCCACCCCCTTGTTGTAGGGCCAGTGCCAGTCCCCCTTGTTCCTTGCAAACTCAGATCAGCTCCTGGCTCATGCCAATACTACTCCTGGCGTCATTTGATATAGGCAAGCCTTCCAGTACCAGGGGCCTCGCAGTCACTGGCCAGCTCAGCGGTCTCAGCCACCTGCTCCTACAGTCAAACTTTAGCCTAGTTATCATCAGTAACCACATCCTCGTCCACGACTTCGTCTCAGCATCATGCCTCTCATTCATCAACCACTGCCTACTGCCGTTCCCTTTCTTTCCCTCTGGTGCCCTCTCCCACAGCCCTTCAACCTCACAAGACTCCACCATCGTTGACTCCACTGTCTTCTCACTGTCCCTCCCCTAACCTAATTGAGATTTTCTCGTCCTCCATTATCCTGCCTTTGTAGGACCCTCACCATCCCCAAGCCCCCAGGTTTAATTCCACGCTCTGCCTTCTCCACACCTGCCCTGAATAGCTTGCATGGCTGCCTGAGAACATGTTGACTGACAAAGATTTAGTTCATGACTTCTAAGCTCAAGTGAGTTCCTAACGCTGCCCTGCGGTTCTTAACACTTCCCTGGTTCCATCGCTGTCCTTGGCCCTCAGTTCTAACACCTCCTCTCTTTCTAACTCTGAGCTGTTATCCTTGCTTCCTATTTCACTGAGAAAACAGTGGTCATCAGAAGACAGCTTGCTTCTGTTCCACCACAGTGACGGTGGTGAATGAGCAGTGCTCCTTTCTGAGTCTGTCCTCTACTCGTGCATCCATCCCGCCTCTCGAGCTCCACCGTAGCAGTCAGCCTCTCCCTCTCCTGTGTCGTCTCACCTCCCCTCTCCACTGGATCATTCCCAGCAGCATGTAAACGTGCTGTAACGTCTCCCATCTTGACCATCCCACAGCAGTGGTCCCATTTTCCCTTTACAGCAAAGTTCCTTAACAGGGTTATACATACCCTCTTTTTTTTTCTGCTTTCTCTCTTCCCATTTTCCCTTGAACTCTCTCCAGTTGGGCTTCCATCCCCATTATTCTACTGAAATGGGTCTGGTCAGGATCACCAATGGTTTCCCTGTTGCCAAAGGAATATGATCACCAATGGTTTCCCTGTTGCCAAAGGAATATGATTCTCTGTCTTCAAATTACTTAACCTATCAGAAGCATTTGACACAGAGATTGACTTGGCACTCCTACTTGCAAACACGGTCTTCATTTAGCTTCCTCATGAGCCCCTGGCAACTCATCCTGATTTCCTCTGCTGGTCCTTCCTCATCTTCTCAACCTTTCTACTCCCTCAATGACCTCATGCATCTCACAACTTTAAATGACTACTAGATGCTGTGGACTCCTGACTTTATACAACAGCCCAGATCTCGCCCATGAATCCTGCGTGTGTACATCTAACTGGCTACTCTCCATTAAGATGGTTAATAGGCATCAACTAATAGATATCTCAGACTTTAACATGTCAGAAACCAAGCTTCTGAGCTTTCTCCCCAAACCTGGTCCCTCCTCAGTCTTCCCCAGCAAAGGAAAGAACTCTAGTTGTCCATGTGTTCGGGCCAAAAACTTTGGAGTCATCTCTCTTTCTCCTCTTATACTACACATCCAGTCCATCAGCCAGCCCTGTTTGTTCCACCTTTAAGGTATATCCAGTGTCCAGTAGTAGCCTTTTTGTTTTTTGGGGTTTTTTTTTGCGGTATGCGGGCCTCTCACTGCTGTGGCCTCTCCCGTTGTGGAGCACAGGCTCCGGATGCGCAGGCTCAGCGGCCATGGCTCACGGGCCCAGCCGCTCCGTGGCATGTGGGATCTTCCCGGACCGGGGCACGAACCTGTGTCCCCTGCATCGGCAGGCGGACTCTCAACCACTGCGCCACCAGGGAAGCCCAGTAGTAGCCTTTTTCACTACTACCACCTGGTCCGAGGCACCAGCATCCCTCACCTGGATTATTGCAGTAGCCATCTAACTGGGTTCCCTGTTGCCACTCCTACCCCACTACAATTCTCCACCCAGCAGTCACAGTGATTCTTCTAGAACATAAGTCAAATCCTGTCATGCTTCAGCTTAAAAACCTCACTCAGAGAAAAAGCCAGTTTCCTGCTGAGGCATACAAGGCCCTAAGTGATCAGCCCCTGCCACCTCTGTGGCTTTATCTAACATCTCCCCTCATTCTGCGATAGCCACCTTGGTCTTGGTTCTCGTCCTGATACATGCCAAACATACACCTCAGGGCCTTTGCACTTGCTCTTCCCACTGCTTGCAATGCCTTTTCTCCCAGTTATTTTTATGGGCTGCCCCCTCATTTTTGTCAGATATCTGCTCAAATGCCATTAAAGAAGCCTTCCCTGCTCACCCTGTATAAAATAGCAAATGCGTGCCCCCTGCAGCACTCCCTGTCTCTCTAACTCTACTCTTAAAAAATCCTTTTCTAGTCAGTCTCCTAACAGGCTATCTGCAGTATGTAGAATTGTGCTGACACTTAATAGGCCAGCACAAATATTTCTTGAATGAAAGAATGACATTAGGATTATATTTGAATCTTAAAGCAAAACTTTATATAGATTCTTGAAGCTCATCCCTTAGCAAAGTAGACCCGATAAATTCTAGACGCTTTTTTACTTGAACGACAGTCATCTAGATTTGTATACTAACATGGACTGGGCCCTGCGGTAATCGGCCAGCAGTCCTGAATGCATATGTGCTTCTAATGCAGTTGAGGAAATGAGATTAAAACTCTTGTTACAGTTGGTGTTTATGCGTCTGAAGCTGGTTGCTGCCACACCTGCCTAGGCATGCAGCTGACAGCTCTCTTCGCCGTGCAGTCTCTGTGTGTGCCTGGAGGCCATTGTGTACCTCGTGTGACGGCTTTTTTACCAGCTGGAAAAAAACGCGGTGGTGGGTATTCGCAATAGGCAAGATAAGTGTCCTAGATTGTCATCTGTTTCTGTTTGAACTGTCCCTGGAAAGCCGAGTAGAAAACTGCACAGCGAATTCTACAACTGTACAAATTACAGCAGGGCTTTTTCCCCACTTGCCTTAAAACAAAGTTAGTTGTTTTAAAAGTGATTTAGAAGTGAACTTGTGGTGACATTTAAGATTATACAAATTGAAAAAGGCAAATGGTGCACTTTTGCCTGCATTGGAATTATTTATCTTTCAATGTTTGCTTTAGGAAAGCATGAGGAGGAGGAAAGAGCATTGGCTCTGAAGTCAGACAGCCCTGGGTTGGAAGGACACACACACACTGTCACTGGCGTGGAGGTGTAACCTTGGGCAAGCGGTTCGGCCTCTCCGGGTCTCAGTCTCTTGTCCTGTTAAATGGGGATAATAACACAGGATTGCTCTGAGCTTCGGTAAGATGGCCTAGCTCTGTGCCTGGCACACACATACTCTATTTTGGGAAGAACTATTGTGTTGCTATTTTCACAAAGGAGACTCTTCGTCCCAATTAGGGACAATCTAGACAGATGAGATTATCCTGCATCAAACGTTGGGCAGTAGAGCCAAGCCTTTACAATCCAGCTATTTCCTGCTGCTTGCCAATTCTCTCTGCTTGACCTGTTGCTTCCAACAACACAGCCCAGCAATGTTCTTGGACCCAGGGAAGAATTCATTTTTCTTTTTTCCAAGAAATCTTCCCATCCCCTTTCCTTTCCTGAGGAGCGTTGTCCCCGCATGCAGCTCACCCTTCGCACATTACCTGTCAAGTGTTTCGTGTGCATGTCCCCTTTCTTCTGGTTGGCATTGTTCCCAATTAGGACTGAGTTAATTAACAACAGCAGAACAATTTAAATTCCCTTTTTAAGAGAATAAGGCCAGCCCTTTCTCTATTCTCTGGGTATAACTTGCTTACAATGGGGAGGAGATCGGGGGTGGTAGAATGAATGGGTTCCACAGAGGTGGATATGGATGTTTTTCAAACAAATATCCTGTTTGGGAAAAGCAGTCTTGCAAAAGCCGGTTTCACCATTTGAATTTTCTAGATACCTGCCTGGGCTTCGTTATTGGTGCTGATTAATGCCGGGCCATTAATATCAAGATCTTATAGAGCAGCTCTCCCTCTAATATAACACCTTTCCTGCTGTTTTAGCCAATATCCACTACACAGACCAGAAGTCCAGGCAGCAGGTCAGGAGGAGGAAACTCTGCTATGGACACCAGCAGGTGTCAGCCGAGGCTGCTGGGCCTCAGAGCCACCAGGGCAGAGAGGGCTGAGGCGTCCGTCAATGACTGTGCTTAGTGGGGAGGTTTGTACACCTGTTGAGTCGGCCCTGCAGTCCGTCAGCTGAAAGTCAAAGCCTTCGACCAGTAAATGGTATGTTGTACTCATGTACAAAGTGACTGTGTGGTTTCTACTGCCTAAAATTTTGATTTGTTTCCGAAACCAGTGCCTAATTATTTCAAAGCCAATGCCTTACTTTTAGTCAGCTATACCTTTATAATCTTGTTTATTTCTACAACGAATACCAATAATGTGTTAACGTTTCAGAAATTGCTCCTACTTATTTGTTGAGGAGGATTATTTTTTAAAGCTAAGGACTGAAAGGTGGCAAGCAAGTTTTAATAGAGGCTTTGTTAAAAGCTTCCAAGTACAGCAAGTCCCTCGCATGCGAACGAGTTCCATTCTGAGAGCACGTTCGTAAGTCCAATTTGTTCTTAAGTCCAACAAAGTTCGCCTAGGTACCCAACTAACACAATCGGCTGTATAGTGCTGTACTGTAATAGGTTTATAATATTTTTCACACAAATAATACATAAAAAACAAACACAAAAATTAAAATATTTTTAATCTTACAGTACAGTACCTTGAAAAGTACAGTTGTATAGTAGGACAGCTGTCATCCAGGGTCTGGCATCGAGTGAACAGGCCAGAAGAGTTACTGACTGGAGGAGGGAGAGGAGGTGGGAGATGTTAGAGCTGAAGGGTCGTCAGCAATAGGAGATGGAGCGCAAGCTGCAATGTCACTCACTCCTGACGTGGATGGCACAGGATCTGGTTCCTTGCTGGATTCAATTCTACCTACCCTCTTGAAAAAACGATCCAGTGGTGTCTGGGTAGTAGCTCTTTTTTTCTCATCATAGATGACAGGGTAGCACTGGATTGCCTTCTGAACTGCTGCTGCAACCTTCGTGTACTGTTTACGTTCAGGTCCTGTGCCTCAAAAACTAACAGGGCCTCCTCAAATAAAGAAAATCCCCTTGCCACTTCCTGCATCGTGAGTCTCTTCGGTTCTTCAGTTACTTCTTCCTCTTGTCTCTCTTCGTCCTTCCTCTGGGCCTCCAATTCCTGGCGCTTCTTAGCAGTACCAGCTACATCACCGCTGCTTTTACGCTTGCTTCAGGACATCCTGGGCTTGAAATAAAGATACTGTACTGCTGTACTCTATACAGTCCTGTAAAGTACACAAAAGCACAACCACTTGTAGAGGATGTACGCACGTGACAATGTATGCCAGACATGTTATCTAACTTACGTGATCTGACAAGCAAACGCACTTCCGCATCTTTGAAAGTTTGCAACTTGAAGGTTCGTATGTAGGGGACTTACTGTATACTGCATTATATACAACTTCCTTTGTTTGGCTGAGGTGAGATACTTGAACCAATTCCTTCCCAAACCAGTGAAGTTTGTGCATACATGCCACTTGGTGGAAGGCCTTGGAAGCTCTCTTTTTGCGAGCTTTAAAGCAGTGCCCACAGCTCTGGGAGCAAAGACTCCCACCTCAAGGACACAGGAATTACTTTGCACGAGGGAGGTAGTGTCTCTCTTCCCTTCTGAAGGCTGGATGTTCTCACACGTGATTAGGCAATGCCATTAACCCTGAATAGTTTACAAAAAACCCTGTGGTTTTTTTCTGAATTATTTTAAAAACTTTAAAACATCACTTTAAGTTAGTGAACAGAATTAAAATCCAATCTGCCGTGGTGCAGAATTGCCTCCGTGGGTTCTTTTCATGGTTTAGCTTCAGTCTGGCTATTAGAAGAAAATTTTTTGGGCAGACAGAGGGCTGAGGTGGTGCGAGGAGTGGGGCCTGAGAGTAGGTTTGAGGTAGCAGGGTCTCTTTACAGCTTTGGGGACTCTGTTGATGTCTAATTTCAGCCCCAGTGCTGTCAATGCCACTCAGCTCTTTAATGCATGTAGCACAGCTGGTAGATGCTTTCAGACTAAGATGCTGATGAAAGACTTGGTCAAGTGTAAGATGAAACACAGAGTCTGGAAAGGAGGAGAAGATTTGATGTAGGAGCTAGTCCAACACTTCCCCAGCTCTCCCTTTTCCAAATTCTTACAGCCCTGGGCTGAATGGGACTCCACTGACCCAGTGAGCATTCTATGGTCTTAGGTCTCCTATATTTGATGGAAATATGTTGGGACCTGTTGTGCAAAGGCATGGTGACTAGCCTTCCTCAGAGTCTCCAGCTCAAGAGGACAGAGTAGTATAGAGACAGGGATTTGTGTGTGGTCCTCTGTATCCTTCCCTCCACTCATTCCAAGGTAGTCAGACTCTTTGGTGTCCTAGCCCAGGGGTGCTTGAAGGGTTGAAAGCAGAAGCAACTTGAAGATAAATTCTTTAAGTCTTTCCTGAAAGGCTTAGCTGGTCAGGCAGATTTTGGAAGGGAGGGTGGGTGAGACTGGGGAGCTGGAGTGATTCCCCAAGGCAGGCGAGGATGGAGGCCTGTGGGTTCTACCATAAACAGGTGTCTGCATTCTCGCGGGGGTCTGGCCTCAGAGGCAAAGAGCTAGCCCTAAGCAGGGACAGCACTCCAACTCCACCCAAGACCCCAGGCCTCCACTCTTCATGTGAGCAGCCAGATTTCTCAGCCTTTCAGAACCACAGGGATTGAGACAACAGGCATTTCTGGGAAAGCCACTGTGAACTGAAGACGAAGAGTCTCTGGAATGCTTGGCCCCAGGACCTTTGCATACCCTCAGGCAGAGAATAAGGAAGCTCAGTAATGACTGGGGTTGAATTTCAAGCCAGATAGGGACTTGGAATTGGACTTCAGAAAAATCAAAAAAATATGAAATTTCTTTTACACGTATGTTTGCAATTGCAGATTCATACACGCTATACCAAGTTGGCCCAACCTAATATTTAAGGAAGGGCAATGTAGCCTCTTGGTTACCAACCAAAATGATAATTTAATAAAAATGGAGAACAGAATTAAATTCTACTCCCAAATTATCAAAAGAAACACCTCTCTTTTTTGGAGAATTAAAAAATATATTTATTTTATTTTTACCAAGTTAAAAAAATGTCCAGTGGTACTGAAAGCCTTATACTAGCTTCCTGACCTAACTCCTCTCCCTAGTCTCAAAACCCAAGAGCAACTATTTTAAACTCTTGTATTAGTTCCTTCTGCTGTCTATCTCCACAGTTCATCTTCTATGCTCCTATTCCTTTCCTTGATTTGTCCATTTGTGGAAGAATCTATTGACTCACCTATTATAGGTAGGTGAGGATTTAACTCTTTTATGCTACTTTCACATTTCTGCCCCCTGTTTTCACACTGTATTTGAACAGTTTTTAGTTAGATCAACATTCGGTGTTTACACTGTTATGATTGTATACCATGATTGTGCCTTTTCTTGGGAATTTGTAAATGCTTTCCACCTTCACATGTGTAGTTGTCTATATACACATACATATGTTTCCGCATCAGATTGGTCTAAGCCTTTTGTAGTTTTTCCCAACTATTGAAGCACATCAGATAACCTCTTCTCCCTGGCCTGCTGCTTTCTGAGACCTCTGTCCTGCTCCAACCAGGATGGGCTGCTCCTTGGGTCTGCTGTAAAAATATTACAGGGGGCTTCCCACTGTCGTCATCTGGGACTCCCCTCCCTAGCTTTCCTGTCCTCTTTGTTCCCTGAATACTTTACTGTTTTCTTGTCTCACTTGTTGCGCTGTAGCACAGCTTCTAATAGTTTCCTAAAAATGAGCACACAGAAGGTCCATGTTTTGAAATGTTTGAAAATGTCTTTGTTTCTTCTCTCAGACACTGTTTGTGGGTATTGAAATCTAGGCTGAAACACTGATGCTCAGAAATTTGAAGGCACTGTCCCATTGCTTTTAGCTTATAGGAAGATGTTGAGAGGACCCGTGCCATTCTAAGTCTTACTTTTTGTAGGTAAACCATTTTTTTCTCTCTAAAAGCTTTTAGAACATTCTCTTTATCCCAGATGTGATAAAATCTCGCAACCTGGTGCTTGCGTTTTAAGGCTTTGAGTTGGGCATTTGGTGGACCATTTTAATCGAGAAACTTGTGTCTTTCAGTTTGGGGAAGTTTTCTTGTATAGGTTGATGATTTCCTTTTTTCTCTGTTTTCTCTGCTTCCTGGGTTTCTCCTCTAAAGCCTTTATCTTTTGTCTTCTGATTTGCCTTTCTGGGAAATTTACAAAGTTTTATCTTCCTACTTTTCTATTGATTTTTAAAGATTTCTGCTCTCATGTTTTTGATTTTCAATTTTTAGTTTTCTATTTCCTTTCTATAGTGTCCTTTTCTTATTTTATGGGTGCAATATCTTCTCTTTTCTCTCTAAAGATGTTAGGTGTAGTTTTATTGAAATGTTCTATTCTGTTCCTTACATTGTTTCTGTTTCCTCTGGGTTCCTTTTCCCAGTTTGCTTTAGTTTCTTTCTTGTGTGGTAGAGGTATTCCTCAAATGTCTGTCCATTTATATTAAGCTTGAGGTGCTAAACAGCTTCTTAAAAGCGCTCTGTGGGTGGATGGGACCTGCTGAATGGTGCTGCAGGACCCAGAGTCCAGAGGATAAATTTCCAGTCTCCTGCCTGGGGACAACCCGAGGTTCCCAGGGTCCAGAAAGGTAGTAAGCCAGCTTCTTATCACTTTCTGTGAGCACTTTACTCAGAGCTTCTTCATTCTGGCAATTCCTACTCCTCTATTCACTGTCCATCTTCAAAAATTGGATGAACTTTCTTAATCTCTTTGTCTTCATAGGCTTATACCTATGCTATTCCTTTATCCTCATTCTATTGGAGTTTCCAGAGGAGATGATATAATGAATATGGTCGGTCTATCGTGTTTAACTGGAAATCTGCTTGCATGCTCTTTCCCTGTTTCGTTTTTAAAAATTGAAGTATAATTTACATATAGTAAAATGCAAAGACCTTAAGTGTACAGTTCCATGAGGTGTGACAAATGTGCAATCTATATCCCTACCTGTATCTTTACAGAACGTGCCCATCCCCCAGCAAGTTCCTTCATGCCCCTTTTCAGTTCCCTCCCTGCCTTTCCACCATCAAAAGCCACTGTTCTGATTTCTGTCACTATAGATAAGTTTGGGATCCTCATTTTTGAATGTTTGAGGGAAGTATTTATATTGTACAAATCATTCTCCCAACTTATCTAACTGAAGAACAACTCTATTATTATTATTATTATTATTATTATTATTTGTGGTACGCGGGCCTCTCACTGTTGTGGCCTCTCCCGTTGCGGAGCACAGGCTCCGGACGCGCAGGCTCAGCGGCCATGGCTCACAGGCCCAGCCGCTCCGCGGCACATGGGATCTTCCCGGACCGGGGCACGAACCCGTGTCCCCTGCATCGGCAGGCGGACTCTCAACCACTGCGCCACCAGGGAAGCCCAGAACAACTCTATTATTACAAGAAATCGAAATATAAGTGAGAGCAATTCTGTTTTATTTTTAAAAAAAAAGCACAGAATTTTGTCCAAATCTAACATCCTTCTTCAGGAGTAAAGAGAGATTTATTGTTATCTAGAAAGGCTTTTGAGGAAATCAGTTTCCTCCATAACCAACAGAACTTCATATCACATGTTTAGTTAAAAACTCAAGTAGTCAAAAACGATCCTTAATATCTTTGAACAAACATCATGCCCTCTTTCCGGATCTTCAAGGTCACACTCCCCTTTGTTTTTCTAAACAAAACCCAAGATCCCCCTTGTTTCCAAATGGATATCTGACCTCTTATCAAAACATATATGATTAGCCATCCTTTCAAATACCTTCTGAAGTGTGTGCACTTGTGGCACAAGGCCCTCAGGGCACGGGTGGCAGGGAGGGTGGATCTTGGGTGGTGTATGTAGAGGGGACCTGTGATAAGGACTGCGTTGTTCTAATTGCCTAGCTTCTGCCTGCTGGTTGTTCCCTTCATGTAGACCTTCCATGAATGACAAAAGCCATATTTTAAAATGC